TTCTCTCCAGCTTCCCTAGTGTCTTTTTGTTCTTCATAGGTGTCAAGCAGAGTGGCTGCTTGTGCTTCCCAGATGCACTGATGCCTCTCCTCCTTCGGAGTACATATCTTCTCACAATAGCCAGTACAAGGGACATTTGCCATCGATGTTGCTTCACTAGGTGTTTTGAGAGCTCTAGTGGAGGCAGGGTTTTAAGTACCAAAAATTCATTTTGTATTCTTAATATTAGCTACAAGCAAAACACTTCTCACATAGTAGAACCATTTTATTGAACTAAACTAGATAGGGGCTCACCACTGTTGCCTACTCATCAGAAAGTTTCCTGGGCTGAGGATGTAGCTGAGTGCTAGAGTACTTTCCTGGCATGCATGAGGCCTTGGGTTCTGTTCCCAGCCCTGAGAAAAGAAGGAGGAAAGGAACATTTTCTTGGAGTTGAGATAGCATTATATTCCTGTATGTAACTGATGTTGATCCTTAAAAACCTGAAAGTCTTCTGAATTGTTTTTGTAATTTGTATTATTTAAATGAAAGATTAAGATAGGAGATCACAAAATGGTTTTACTGTTACTTTTCTTAAAAGGGTTTAGCACTAGTTAACCCATTGTATAACTAAGTCTACTTTCGATGCTTCATACTGCTTATAACTTTTAATTTGAAAGTTGTTTTTTTAAACTACTAAAATTATACATTGCAGCCAGGCATGGTAGTGCATTGCCTGTAATCCCAGCACTTGAGAAGCTGAGGCAGGATTGCCACTTTTTGAGGCCAGCCTAGGCTACACAGTCAGTTCAAGGCCAACCTGTCTCTAAATAAACAAAATATAAAATAAAATGACAGAAAACAGAATTTTAGCAGGGTTAGAAGAGAGATGGAAATAATGGGATATTTTCTGGCCTTTTCACATTGCCATGATCCTAGTGCAGAGGTGGTGGTAAAGATGAGATTTGGCAAGTACAATGGAGAAGTTGTATCCTCGAGAATTCTGCACTGTTAACTTTTGTACATATTTGCTTCCATTTTCTTATTTATGTGCACATTTGTATTAAAAACAGAGCAAATAATGTACAAGTACTTCGTCTCTTTTTCAGAGGAATATAGTGTTAGATAAATCACTTTTAATCACCTTTGACCTGTTCTGTTCCCTGTTTCCACCATGACTGTGGTCCTAGATTCTACCTAAAATATTTTGCAACTTTGATATATGTCTAGTACAGTTTTCCCATACTTAAAGAGTGGGGAGGAAGTATTACTGTTTTGTTTTGTTTTTTGTTTTTTGTTTTGAGACAGGAGTCTCACTATGTAATTGAGAATGACCTGAAACTCACTATGTAGCCCAGGCGGGGCTCGAACTCTCAGCAATCCTCCTGCCTCAGCCTCCCAAGTGCTGGGATTACAGGCATGTGCCACCATGCCTGGCCAGTATTACTGCTTTTTAAATGGTATGATGGTGTAAATGTATCATTCTGTTAGTTTAGAGCTTTTTTAAAAACATCTTTTTAAAAATAACTTTGGATCTCTCCAAGTTGATTCATATTGTTCAAGTTCATTTCAGTATAGATTCCCAATAGGGGGTCATTTTTACAGTTCTTTAGTGTTCTGATCCTGTTAGGACTGGATTTTTGGCTCCTTGCTTTTATAAACAAGTGTTGCTACAAATATTCTCATCTTGGACATCTGTGAGTACTTTTCTAGGGTCATACAGAAGAATTTTTTCCCTGATTTTTCTTCCTTTAATATTAAAATTTGAATATTTCCATGAGATTATTATAGTCTCTTCATAAACCTCATACTCTGAAGTCTAGACTTTGATGCATGTTTTATTTCCTTAGTGAAAAATTAATATTTGACACAAGGCTGTTTTTGTTTTTTGAGACAAGGTCTTGCTATGTAATCCAGGCTGGCCTCAACAGTCATCCTCCTGCCTCAGCCTCCCAGGTATTGGGATTACAGGTGTGTGCCGCCATGCCTGGCGTCACAAGGCTGTTTTTGCATCAGACTAATTTAAACATTCAGAGTTGTCTGTCTCTCTCTTCTAATTCATTCATTCACTTTTATCTCTTCTTTTTTAAATAGAAGACAGTTTATTTGAAGATGGGGAGGGAAGAAGAGAGAGATAACCGCTACAGTGGGCGAGTAGGGAGAATTCAAAAGTGAATTGCTCCTCATTCTTATCTTTTAAAACGAGAGCCTTTGAGACTAATTGTTGAAGTTGTGAAGTTGGACTGGGTTCTGCAGTAGCTGCTGTCTTGGGTTTAGGTGTTGTTCCTTCATTTAACCCATGCCTGAATCTGCAGTATACAATTTTTAGGTGCCTTGTTTGACTAGTCCTGGTGGTCTTTTAACTGTGGCACTCCACTTAGGCTTTCTGTGCTTGGCAGGGTAGCCACATCTGCTGCAGGTTGACTTCTGAAGATGGTAGGTGGTATAGCCACCGCTGCAGCACAGCAGCATGTCTTACTATGATGCTCTCCAGACAGCGACATCACTTGGCCAGCTCACTTCTGCCACTAATACCAAAGAGTCACAGGGTTGTCTTGATATTAATAAATGAAATTTGAAGCTGTTTCAACACAGAGAATTTAAAAACAGAAATTAGAAGCAGGATTAGTTGCCAGAGCAAAGACTGGAATGCCAGAAGTTTTGTGTTCTTGTCCCGTTTTCTGACTTGAGGGAAGTGTCTTTTAAGATTTTAGAGACGATCTCTGTAGCAACTCAACTGAGGTTCATCCTCTGGTGTGAGGCCGCCTCTGCGTCTTTCTGGTCTCTTCCTATCTTTGTGTGTGTGCTGCCCCTGCCCTTTTGCATTCTCCCAGCTGTGTTGGTACTCCTTACATGTTGCAGTTCTTTCTATCTCTTGTTCTGTTGATACAGTGGTATCTTCCAGAATATTGTGCTGTCTTACTTTTGTACACCAAACAAGCTTGTTGACTGCCTAGTAGATGCTGACTTGTATGTTTGAAAGGAAAGAACCTGTGAGGATCAGGTGAGGGGGGCCTGGGGCTGGAAGGTGGTGGTGGTGAGAACTGTTTTAGAAAGAAACTAGAATTTATTCCAAGTGTGGAATGGGATAAAGACCTCTTAAATGAGAAAGTAAAGTGATAAAGATGACAGAATGACAGCTTTGATGATGGATCTTGGCTTTAGAATATTGTCTCTTGCATATATACATAGTGATTAAATCACTGGTTTTATTAGAAAATAAGTTGATTTCTCCTTAGAATTGTTTTCTTTTTTATAGAAAAATACTTATTTACATTTTAGGTATACATAGTGTACATTTTAGGCATACCTAATCATTGTAGGGAATTTGCATCTATACATGAGACATCCCACCTTTTTTTCTCATCCCCCCATGAACCCTCCCTTCCCTATGTACAAAAACTTTATTTCCATGTTTTCCTATTTCTTTTTCTTGTCCCCTTCTTTTCGCCCTCTTTCCTTGTTGAACATTTTCTTTGCATTTTCCAATATCCATTATACATTTTACTCCTTATTTCCACTTTCAGTTTTTTACATCAGAGAAGCAGTGTGGTATTTAAACATGTGTGTCTGATTTATTTCACTTAAGAGTGTGATCTCAAGGTCCATCCATTTAGCTATAAATGTTGGAAGCTTGTCCTTTATGGTAGAGTAGTACTCCATTGTATTAAAAAACACAGCTTCTTTATCCATTAGCTTTTACAAACTGTGTTGCTATGAACATAGATGTGCATATATCACTGTGGTATGATGCTTTTAATTCTTTTGGAAAGATACCAAGAATAACTGGGTCAAAAGGAACTTCTGAGAAAAGTCCACACTGATTTCCACAGTGGTTGCACCAGTCTACACTCCCACCAACAGTGGAGAAGGGTTCCTTTTCCCCCACAGCTCCTCCAGCAGTTGTTACTGGTTTATTTCTTTACAACATTTATTCTTTCTGTAGTGAGATGGAATCTCAGCATTATTTTAATTTGCATTTCTCAGATGACCAGTGATGTAGAACATTTTTCCATATACTTATTTGCCATTTCTGCTTCAGAGAAATGTCTGTTTATTTCAGATGCTCACTTTCTTTTCTTTTTTATTGGGTTTATTAGTACTTTTAAAGTATATAGTACAGTTACATTCATTATTGGGGTGTTCTGCCTTTACATGTCAGATGTTGGTTCTTATTTTTTCCCCCATACTCCTGCCCTCCCCTATTTACTCTCCTTAGAATGTTAAGTCAGTGTTTGTTTTTCTAGGAATACTTTTTTTTTTTGTACTGGGAATCAAACTCAGGACCTTGTGCTTTTGAGGCAGGGGGCAGAACCACTGAGCCCAGGGAATACATTTTTAAAGAAACCTCTATCCATTACATATATAGCCATCTCAGATTTTTTAAAACTCTTTGTCTTATTTCTTCATTGCCTAGATTTTAATCAAAATTGGGTTTCCTTGAATTAGTAGACTAACAGTAAACAAAATATTTTGGTCACTGTTCTTTTGAAATCCTTTGTGGTTTGGAAGTGGTGTTCCTCTAGCATTTCAGCAGCCTCATTCATGTTCCACACACGGTGCAGCCAAATGATGCTAGTGAATGAGCTTCAGAAGGAGAAGTTCAAGTGCAGAGCCTCAAATTTGGAGCTTGAGCAATAAAACTGTTGGGAGGGAGACTCACAGTGAAGTTTCTTAACTTTTACCTCGATATTAGTTATAAAACATTTAGTATTATAAATTCTCCTTGGGCGAGTACCTCTGGCTCAGGAAATAATTGCTTTGTAAGATTTGTTTGTTTAAAAAGCTGCTTTGCTCCCAAGGTTTGCTCGTAATAGAATTCTTATGTATTTTAGTTCACTGACATTGTCAGGAGAATGTAGAGTATTACCACTAGCCAAAGGTCTGAAGTTGTAAATAATGATTGATGAGCATTATCATCATCTTTTCCCAATACTGAAGTTATTTCCAGGACCTGACATACATTAAGACTCTTTTGTTCTCTGGATCTTTTTGCTGCTAATTAACATCTCTTTTTACAGGATTCATGAATAAAATTTTCCATCCCAACATTGATGAAGCGTAAGTAACTGTTTAAAAATGTTTACATGTTAGCAGCAACTGCTCTTGGTCAGAGTGCATCACTCTCTCTCTCTCTCTCTCTCTCTCTCCATTATAAGAGAACCCTCAGCTGTCATTTTGGGTTTGATGGGAGGCAGGACTATATGAGTGCTCATTTGAACCATCGAGTCCTGAGGATGTGGTATTCCAGATGCCTGTGCTCCAGTTATTGTGCTGCTTAGTTTTTTCCATTGTCATGACTGGACCCTTCATTTCCCTCACTATTCAACCACATTTTTAATGTTCCATACCTCAGTTCTTATTGTATAGGCAGGCACAAGTCAGTGATCTGTTTTCAGTTTACAAATTTACTATTTTGAGCCCTTAAAGTATTTATTTGTTCAAGGAAAGGCAAATATGAATGATTAGTTTCATTTCAGTCAATGACTCAGTTATCCCCTTTCCTTCTAGTATTTTATTAATGATGAGCAGGCAGGTTCTCTCTATGTAGGTCAGCCTGGCCTTAAACTTACTATGTATTATGTAGCCCAGGCTGGCCTCAAACTCACAGCAGTCCTCTTTCCTCAGCCTCCCAAGTGCTGGAATTATAGGTGTGCGCCACCATACCCAGCTGTGAGTGATATTTTAAAATGATTCTGGTGTAGCCTATTTTGTCCTCCCAGTGCTATTTAGAGTACATAATCATTTGGACTGTAGTTTTTACTTTGTACAGCATTCAGTTTTGCTATTGGTCACACAATTTGCATATGAGGATTCTGTGGACCTTGCATGAGTAGGTTGTATGTATACATCTTGCCTTTTTATCCTTTAATTTTTCAGGGATCATTCATCCTGACAAGAAAGGGTATTCTCATGTAAGCAAAGTATAGATGTCAGATTTAGCAATGTAATGCTGTGATAATTTTTTTACTTAATCTACTTCCATACTGCAATAATTAATCTTTTTTTTTTTTTGAGACAGGGTCTCTATGTAGTTCAGACTGGTTTTGAACTCACTATGTAGCTCAGGCTGGCCTCAAACTCGGAGTGATCCTCCTAAGTGCAGGGATTACAGGTGTGCACCACCATACCCAGCAGTAATATACCTTTTTTTTTTTTTGGTACTGGGAATCAAACTCAGGTCCTTGCGCTTGCAAGGTAGGTAGCAGAACCACTGAGCTAAATCCCCAGCCCAGTAATAAACTTTTTAACACCTTTAAAAAAAAGAAAAGAAAAGAAAAGGATTTAGCCCATGATCACATTGCCATCACTTGTCATGCTTCCTTACCCAACTGTTATGTGGGACAGTTCTTTGGGCTGCTCTTTATAAAGTTGATTTTTTTTATCAACTGATTATTTTATAATTGACCTTCAGTTTGAGTTTGCTTGTTTCCCAAGAGTCAGGGTATGTACATACTTAGCCACACAGATCTCTGCCCTTTGTTTCCAGTATTAATTCTAATCACCTGGTTACCATTTTCCTTTTCAGTCTGTATGGGCACACTTAAGGCCTTGTAAATATTCTCATCATATTTTCTCCCAATTGGGTTTTATTTTTAAAGGATTTATGAAAAGCGTTTCAAGTAAAAATTAGTTGCCAGATACATGCAACTAACTTTGTAAATTTTTAAAAATGCCATTCTTTCCATCTGTTTCAGGTCAGGAACTGTGTGTCTAGATGTAATTAATCAAACTTGGACAGCTCTCTATGGTGAGTTTGGCCATGGGTTATTTTTTGAAGATGTTGAGACACTGCCTAAAATAATGTTGTTTGGCTTTACTTTTCTGACTTAAGATGTTTTATTGGGAATGGGAAGGGATTTTGAGAGATGGATGGGAAAGTTTGATCAGTGAAAAAAATTTTTTTCCTAATGTACAAACTTCAGTTTAACAGTGCAAATTGAAAATAATTCTATGAGATCCTGAGCTTAAGGTTTAGTGTATACAGATAACACATATATAAACATTTACTTATGTGTATATTCAGAAGCACATTGTATATGTGTTTATATGTATATCACTTAATTTTGGAAAACTTAGGAATGTCTTTTTTCTTTTTTCTTTTTTTTTTTTTTTTTTACCAGGGATTGAACTCAGGTCCTTGCACTTGCAAGGCAGGCCACCGAACCACTAAATCCCCAGCCCTAGGAATGTCTTTCTTAAATGAGGTTAATGATGTAAAAAGTGGTTCCAGAGATCATCTGTTTCAAAGGTCAGATGCTCCTTATGAAGCAGAGTGACAGCCTTTTTCAGGGCTGAAATTGCAACTCAGCTCTTAACAGTGAATCAACAAATGAATGTCCCAGCTCCACAAAATTCTATACTGAACATCGCAGAGAGAGAAGGAGTATTAGGCCTTCTCTCCTTGAACTTTGTTTAGGGAGCTGAGAATTTTCTAAATTAAATTTAAAGTTTGAGGTGCAACAAATGAACTTTTTTTTACCTCCCATGTCCAAGTCCTCAGCTTCACAGGCATCCTGTGCTGTGGTTCCCCACCCCATGAGACTTCCTCCGATTCTGCTGCTGGCAGTGATCTCTGGGTACCTTTACTTCATAGCTCTTTCTTATGGTTCACTTTTACTTTACTTTTGTACCTGTATTTGTTGTTTACCCCTACATTTTTGTCCTTCTAGATTTGTTTCCTACCTGAAGGGCTTGTCAGGTGCATGTCTTATCTGTCTTAAGTTCTTGGACTCCTAGCACAGTACTTCTCAGCAGTGTGAGTTGCAGGAATGAGTGGCACCTGTAATAGTAGCTGAAGGGCACAGGAAGAGGAAGGAAAGATCACTTACAACTTCCTTTAGTTGAAGTGTTGTGAGACCTTTTAACAGTCTAAGGTAGAAAGGCCTCTGAGCCCACCCACAGCCTTGAGAGTCACCTTTGCCAGGCATCCTTGTACCAGGTTGGTGAGTGAAAATCACAGAGGGAGGTTGGTCACCAGCAGAGCAGTTAATCTCCCCCCACCGTCATTTAAAAATTATTTCCTCTCCCTAGAATTACCTCCCCTGGTCTTCATATGACTAGGATCCTTCTTTTCTCACTTCAAGCATCACCTCCTCAGAGAATTTCATTGCACAGCACCTTCTTTTAAATAAAATTTCTTAAAAATTTGTTATTTATTGTTTATCTTGTCCTTTTGAATAATAAGTGCCATGAAAGTAGGGACTTCAGTTGTTCTTGTCTACACACACACACCCACAGGCCTGAAACAGTACCAAATGTACAATGAGAATTCAACTGTTGATTTAAGTCAATGCAGTAACTATGCTCAGTAGTGTTTAGTAATGAAAGTTTTAGGGAGACATTGTCATAAGGAGATGAGACAGCAGAAGAGAACATATACTCTGAAGTTGATTAAATGGATTCCTTTTAAAATCTTTTTCTTTTTTTATGGTTTAAAAAAGTCTCATGGCAGGCAGCCTGGAATATCTGATGTAATGAAGTGTTTTCTTAAACTACATTCACATTTTAGAAAAGTACTTATCAAAATACTACAAGCTGGTTCCAATTACAATGAAGTAAATTAGACTTGGTTTCACTAAATCTTTTACCATTGACCAGAAAGGCTTCCTAAGACAGTTTTGCTAATTCTAAAGTACCTCTTACCTTAGAACAAAAAAAAAAATTTTTTTTATACTGGGGATTGAGTTCAGGACCTTGCGCTTTTGAGGCAGGTGGCCCCTTAGAACAAAATTTTTAAATGTCAGCTTCATTGAATTATGATGCACTCATTCATTTAAAGTGATTCAGTAGTTTCTAGTATATTCACAGTAATGTGCAACCATCACTGTAGTCAATTTTAGAACATTTTCATTGCCTCACAAAGAAATTCATACTCTAGCTGTCCTCCTCCAGCACACCCCCTACCAGCTACACCCTTCTGTTTTGTTTGTGTAGATTTGTCTGTTCTAGACATTAGTTATCAATGCAGTTATATAAGATGTGGTCTTCTGTGAGTGGCTTTGTGTGTTTCATAAGTTTTCAAGGTTCTTCATCTGATTATAACATGTATTCATATTTCCTTTTTATGGCTAAATAATATTTCATTATTACCACATTTTGTTTCTGTGTTTATTATAACATAGATATTTGAGTTGTTTGCACATTTGGGCTGTTATGAATAATCCATTGGTAAATGTCTTTAAATCTTTGGGGTTTGGGGGAGGGGGAGGGACAAGGTCTCGGTCTCTAGTTTAGGCTGGCCTCAAGCTCACTATGTAGCGCAGACTGACCTTGCACTCATGGCAGTCCTCCTGCCTTTGCTCCTTAGTGCTGGGATGACAGGTGTACACCACCATGCCTGGCTCAGAATCTACCCTTTTAGGACTGTGATATAGCTTAGTGGTGCCCCTGCTTGCCTCACAAGCTCAAGGTCCCAAATTTGGTCCCTGGTACCAAAAAAAAAACAAAAAAAATTGTACCCTTTTTACATTCCTGTCATCAGCTAGCTGTATTACCATGGTTTCATCATATTTATAATTATATTCTCATATTTGCTTGCACAGCACTTAAGCAATAAGAGTTAAACTACATTGGTCAGTGAACTGAAAGGAGACTTCCACATTGCATATGTATGAGTTATTCAGAGTGTTCCATAACAAGAGTGTACATATACTAACACTACAGGTAAGTACAGAAAACCAAAAGGATTTCCAGCATGTAGTCAGAAGTATGCTGAGCATGGGAGGAGAATTGATCTGACTTTGTATTCAAAAACTATTTCTCAGGCTGAGGCAGGATCGCTGTGAGTTTGAGACCAGCCTGGGCTGGCTTACATAGTGAATTCCAGGTTAGTCTCAACTACATAGTGAGACCCTGTCTCAAAAAACCACAAAAAAAAAAAAAAAAGCCAAACAAAACAAAAACTATTTCTCAAAGAAAGTGTGAAAGTGTCAATATTTCTTTCATGGGACGTTTTAGAATAAGCAGGTAAACACACTATATAAAAGTAATGGTAGAAAAGTTGGTTCATATGACCTTGAAGTTTATTCTTTAAACTTATCTGATCTTGAGATCTGAACTAAATTTTTATTACACTGTTAAAGCCTCTGACATTGAAGGTGAATTCTCAGTCACTCTGTTTCCTGCAGTGATGCTTAAGAGAGTCTTAGTTCAGAGGACAAAAAAAAAAATTCAATCTAACTTCATACTAAAAGCTAATAGAAAAACTTGGCATGTTAACATAAACATTAAACTGAAAAGCCAAAGATATCTGGGCACCTGGAACTTGTTTCAACACCTACCTCTTCTGTGTAATCTGGTGAGGAGCAGAGACTTGGTTATGAAATTTCCTGCAGCTCACTTTGCCTGCAGCATGTACTGTACAGTGGGCATAAGAATGTATAGTAGAACAACAGTTCTCAGTTGAAATTTCACACTTACATTGATCATAACCTAATAATAAACAGTGCCCATGTTAGCAGTAAATTTAGTTCTCTATTCATTTCCTTCCCAAGAATATTGATTTCTGATGGAAAAATCAAGTACTTTGCTTCTGTTCTCGTCCAGTGTTCTCTTTGCCAAGTGCATGATGTTTGTTCATTCAGGAGTTCAAAATTATGTAATTGCTTAATCACCCAGTAACTTTAAATTTGATATTCTTTAACCTTGCAGGAGAACTAATTATATTTTGTAATATGGTTAATGTTGTAAAGATGCTTGTCATCAATATGGACTTACCAAGCATGAAGTTACCTATGTTACTTTTTGCCATTAAAAGAAAGTAGCAGAGCCTGGGATTTAGCTCAGTGGCACCACACCTGCCTGGCAAGTGCAAGGTCCTGAGTTCAATCCCCAGTACCAGAAAATAAAAAATAAGGGGTTGGGGATTTAGCTCAGTTGTGTGCCAGCATCTGCCTCATAAGCGCAAGGTCCTGAGTTTGATCCCTGGTACAAAAATTTTAAAAAGACAAAAATTGATTCATTTTTGGATTTTTGCATGGTATCATCTTTTCTTACCTCCCTCCCTGCTCTTCCGCACAGCAGTGAAAAAAGCATTGGAAAACTAAAAATGCAGCCAAGGGGATCTGGATTTCAGTTTCAGGAACAAGTGTAAATTTTAAAGACTTCATTAAGCTATGGGTAGCTTTAGCTTTTAAGCTCCTCTTTTGTTTTCTAGTTTTCATTTTCTCCAAAATACATTTCATCTGTAGCTGGCTTAGCAGCCCGCATTCCTGCACTGCAATGGTTTTAATCTCCAAATGCTTGAGCCCTGCACATGTGTTTCTCGCTCAGCTTTCATTAATGTTCATCCTCAACTGACTGGTGAATTACTACATTGTAGGTAAATAACATGGAAAAGTATTTTCGTATAAAATTGGGCAGTTTGCAGTTCTTCCCAGTAGATTGGATACTCCTACTGTTACAATGCTGAGGAGAAAAACATTTTGGATGTTACTTCATCTAGTCACCTGGGGCACTAGTAACGGACAAACGAAGTTGACTACTGATAGAAGGAATGTGAACAGAATTTAGAGATTAGATAAGAGAAACAAGTTATTTTTACTGGGGATTTAGGAGTATTTAAACATTTATTTAATAATTCTCCTATCCCTCTTCAGCCAATTAGGCTGGGAATCTTCCCAAATAATTCAAATTTGAAGGTAATTGTATCTTAAAACAGTGTTTTATGGTGAATTAATATGTGCTATTTATGAACATTTGAATATAGTTACACTGACAAGAAGTCTATGTATGTTTGTTCATGGCTCA